TACCCCAGTCCGCGGGCACTTCGGCCCCGAATAATCTCGGCAAGCTCGGGCCACCCTCGGAGAGATGTACATCAGCAGGCACAGGCAGAGGTCGACCTCGGGGTAGCCCGGCTGCGCGGCTCGCCTGATTAATGCGCCGAGGTCGACGCTGTCGTGAAAATCTTTCCAGCCCCATGAAGAATGCCCCATAGAGCGAGGTCTCGAGCTTGGCGCTGGTGTCGTCTAGCGCCATGGAGCCTAGGACCCCTGGGTTGCTGCGCCCCAATGCCCGCCCAGCCTTTTCTGCGCGCCAGCTTTGGATTACTGCTTTTGCCATCTCTTCCAATGGGTCGTTTCTCTTCTCCCGCAGCATTGGAGGTAGCCGCGATAACTAATCGCCCCAGACGCGGTGGAACTGGCGCGGCCCATGCAAATTTCTTCGGCAGGAGCTGACGGCGAAGATTAGGCTGCGCTTGGCGTCGCCGGGCAATGCCTTGATCTCGGGCGGTTGTCATTGATCAGTTCCACGCGCAGTGGCGGGCCTGAACATCGGGAGCGCCGCCTCTAGGTCACTCACGTCGCATGGGCTTCTTTGAGGTAGCTATAACTGTGCAGCTTGTCGTAGTTCTGTCGTCGCGGCCTCTAGCTGCTGGCAGTTGTTGCATAGCTGCCGTCGTGTTTGCCATGCCCCTGCGCGACATTCGGCTGCCCCTCTTACGGCTCCCGCTTCTTCTCTGCTGATTGTGTCAACTGTATTAGGTAGGTCTCGTCGTTCATGCTTACTGACGTACCTATGGACTCCTCGCATGCTGCCAGACAAAGCTGCACGCGTCCACTGTCCCACTTGTTCCCGAAATTGCATTCGCGCACGCCGTTCAGCTCGGGCGCGCGCGGTTCCTTGTCGTTCGTTCTACTCCTGGGCGTTTTCTATTATCGTGTCAGGCCGGAATCATGCCGGAGGTTCCTGACGCGCTGGGCTAATAGTACGGCTCGTTCGTCAAAATAGCCAGTCTCAGCGACGCTCGCCCACTCGACTTTGCCTAGCTGCTCCGTCAGGCTGGCGATGACTTTGCAGATGTTGTCCAGGTGCTTCTGGCTGTCCATAGGGCGTCTTTGGAGCAGCACTGCGCCGTCGCGGCAACGTTGGCGCAAGGAACTCTACAAGGTACATATACGTTCCTGCAGTCGGTCCTGGCGCCTCCAACTGGTTTCCCTGCAATACGTTGTGGAAACGGAACTTAGCGATATGTGCCTGGCAACCCACGTCGCGCTCTCGGTTGGAGAGGGGCATCTGTGATTTGTGACAGTGCCCTCTCTGCTGCATTCGCCCACGTGCCGTGCAGCTTGCCCAGCAGGCTGCTCAAACTTGGATCTTGCTTGTAAGGCAGGGAGTTCTGCGCCCACTTCGGGGGCCCCTCGAACATGGGCATCAATCTCCTTCCCCCTGCACTGCCCCCAAACCTGCGGGTCACAACGCATGGCCACGGGTTATGAAGGGGCGATGGAGGCGGGGGCGGGGGCCCCCAGCTGGGCCAGCGGCGCTGCCGTGCGAGGGGCAGCGCCGCCGTTGCCTCAAACTGCATGCCGTGGCCGTGGCACGCGCGGCCCTGGGAATGCCGGCGCGGGCGCGGCCGCGTCGAGTGGGCCCAGGACGTCGCCGCGCTCGCGGGGCCCCCCTGCGGCACCTGGCAATGGCCTTGCCGAAAGGGCGCTTACACGCCCACACTTACGCAGTCGCCATACATGCAAAACGCTGAGATGTAAAATCCATGCGGGGGTTGGGGTCGGTTTCCCACTGTTCACAGGAGGCTTTGTCTCCATGTCCGAGGGAACGCTTCCTGGAGACCCCCGAAGATCGCACATATCACTCATTTGTCGTGCACGACGACGGACATGATCTCACGCAAGAGCAAATGTGCATCTCCAGCGTCTCGGATGTAGCCGCCCTGGCCCCGGAAGACCATTTCCGCGATGCTGTCCCTGAGCCCGTGGAAAGCCGAGCCGTCCAGCAAAATACCCAATCGTTATCTGATCATGATCAAGCGAAAACTGTCTCCGAGGTCGGAAGGCCCAACTTTGTGCCGTGTGACAGCGCAGCTGCCTCTCCAGCTGCTCGGCCTGATGGCCAATCCTTCACGCCCGGTGAGCTCGATGAGGAGCCACAGTGTCCTGCCGAGGCGTTCCTGGGGCCCGGCGTGGTCGCAGACTGGGCCCCCAGGCCCCCACCACCGGGGGGATGGAGGGAAGAGGGAGGGAGGAATGGAGGAAGGGAGGAAGGGAGCAAGGAAGGAGGGAAGGAGGGGAGGGAGGAGGGAGGTCGGTTGGTCGGTGCCTGGGGAGGCGGGTGCTGGCGGACCTGCGGGCACGGTATCCGTTTTGGTCGTCCATGGAAGGGGGGGGGGGGGCGCCCCGTCCCGTGGGGCCCCGACAATCCTGTCGCGTGCCCACCTGCCATATGAGTTCGAGGACATGGACGTCATGCGGACGAGGGGAGGAAGGCCATGGGGCGGCTATAGAGATCCCCCGCATCGAAAGCCCGAGGCAACACAGCCTGGGAGCAGCATCACTCACGAAGGCCCATCCGGCTATTGAGTCACCCTGAGTCAGGGAAGGAGGAAGAAAGGAGGGAGGGAGGGAGGAGGAGAGGGAGTAGTAGGAGTAGGAGTGGGAGTGGGAGTGGGAGTGGGAGTGGGAGTAAAGCAGGCGAAGATCCCTGGCCCCCGCTGACCCAGCCGCACCGAAGAGGAGGGCGCGGGGCCACAAGAGGACCCAGAGGATCGAACACCTCGACTCTGGAGGTCGGAACCTCCACTCTTGAGACGAAGCCAGGACGGGGACAACATCGGACCGGGACAACTCGGGGATCTCTGAAATCGGGCAGCTCTGGAGGATGCATGGTGCGCCGCAGCCGTTGCAGAGCGCTCCAGAGCGCTCTGGAAGCGTTCCGGAACGCTCTGAAACGACTAACCCAGCCCCGCCCGAATTCTGGAGGGCAGAGACGGTCTCCACAACCTTGTTTTCGCAAACAGCATGCGCCAGCCCTGGGCTCGCGGGGGTCGAAGTGGAGAGGGAGACGAGCCTCCAGGACGGTGCCCGAGGAGCGCCTCAAGAACAGAGGGAAGAAGGGCCTCCCGGACGGAAGCCGGGCCCACAGTTGGAGGTTCTCGGGCCTCTGGGGAGGTTGGAGGCGGACGAGAGGGGGGCTCGTAAGGTGGAGATGGAGGCTACGAATCAGCTGCATACAGCCTGGGCTTCCTGCCGCCTCCCAGCGCTGGGAGGCGCCCTGGGGCGGCGCCGAAGCTGGCGGCATGCAGAGGACTCCGTACACCCGCCCCCCTTTTCGAATCCTTCCCTTGCTCCTGCTCCTTCTCTTGCTTCGCCTGCTGCTTCCTTTTCCTTCCTTTCGTCCTACTCCTTCTCCCCTCCTCCTCCGCCTCCCGCCACGGCCCCAGGGGCTCCCAAAAGGGACCAGCACCCGCGAACGGGACCCCTGGGGCGGTCGGAATGGTCGATCCGATTGCACCCTCCTCCTCCTCCTCCTCCTCCTCCTCCACCTCCACGCCCTCCTCGTCCTCTTCCTCCACGCCCGCCTCCCCCTCCACCTCCCGCCAGGGAGGGGGGGAACGTTGACCTGGAGTCAGTGATGCATCCCCGATCGATCGGCGATATGCCCCCGATCGCAAAGCTGCACGCTGCTGGGCGGGGTGGCGTGGGCCCGGCTCCCCTCCCTCCCCAGATCCCCCCCCCTCGCTCATCCTCCTCCTCCTCCTCCGCCCCCTCCCGCCCATCTCCCCTCTCACTCATCCTCGTTATCTCCCCCGTCGCTTCCTGTTCTCCCCCCCTGGTCGTTGCCTCCGATGTCCCCTCTCTCGCAAATTCGGGCAGGACGGAAGGGGTGGTTGGCGAATCAGCTCACGTAGCTGTTTTTTTTCCTGGCGCATCCCGGCGCCCAGAGGCGCCAACACGATCGGAGGAAAAACGCCCAGCGGCGGGGCCGAAACGTGCTGCGCGCAGCAGACTTCACAAGTCCTCACTGCCCAAAATCCCCCTGGTGTCGCCCGATCCGAGAAGTCCCCCCTGAGATCCGGCGTTGCGACGGAATGCAGCACCGCGAATACAGGACCAGAGCCGTGGATCCCATCCTTCTGCTGCATCTTTCAAACCAGATCGATCTGTGATGGCCCTGGGACCCGAAACCGGGCGAAAGCGCCCAGTGTGGTTCTATCGGGCCCCTATCGACGACGAGTGGGCGATTGGGGGGTCGATGCGTCCCCCCCTGAGCACATGCCCACCCTGACGTTGCCCCTGTCCTGGTTGGTGTCCCCTCTCTCCAAAAAAACTCGCCCCTCTGGGCGGGGTGGTGCTATCGGGCCCCGATCGGGGATGAATGGGCGATTGGGGGTCGATGCGTCCCCCCGCCCTGGGCCCATCCCCCTCCTGACGTTACCCTTGCTTGCCCCGTGTGACCCTTTCTGACCCAAGATGTCCCTGCGATGCGGAAATACATGGAAGCGACGTCCTGGGACCCCGACGGGCGGGCGAGGGTTGTGGGTGAATAGAGGCCTCCTAGATGGGGTCCGAGTAGGTGGGGTCGGAGGATCGCGCCGCATCGCCGATACATCGGCGATGCATCGACGACGTCGACGTGAAGCAAATCGGGATCCACATCGAGCCGCATCGGCGATGCATCGGCGATGCGGCGCGATCCTCCAGGACCATGGACTCAGACCCCCCTTCTAGGAGGCCCAGAGTGATGGGTGAACCCTGCGACATCCTTGCCTCGGACCCTCGGGCCGGGCGAAAGGGGGGGATATAGCAAAGGGGTGGTTTGAGAATCAGCTCACGTTGCTGATTTTCCCGGCGCCTCCCGGCGCCGGAGGCGGCCATGCATCGAGGAATGGGCCCATCGGTGGGGCCGAAACCAGCTGCATGCAGCGGATTTCGTAACCCATCCTTTCCCAATCCCCCCAGTTCGTCCGGCCCGAGACCCCCCACACCATCCGCCCCCTTTCGCTGGCGAGCCCACGGAGGGTGAAAAGGCCGCCGCCCTCGGCCAAGAGGCGATGGGGGGGGGCCCCTCCTCCGCGGGGGGGCAGCATGCGCCGCGGGCGTGCAAGAAAAAAACCAGCGGGAGGCGGGGTCTCCGCCGCGCCGGCCGGCGGCGGGTCCAAGGGGGGAGGGGAGGGGGAGGGACAGGAGGAAGCAGGCTACAGTGGGCGCGCTCGCGCCATGTCTGACATTGAGGATCCAAGTAGTGACCCCCGCCCCCGGCCAGAATTTTTAAATAAATAACCCAGGCCCCCTTCTGGTGTACAACATGCTGCGGGGCATGTCGATGAGCTTGCATTCGTCGCGGAACTCCGCATGGGCGCGCGTGCCATGGGTCGCTTGCACTGGATGCACTGGGAAGGGAGGCGAGCACCATGCGCTGAGTTCGCCTGCCCCGAGGGCCCCGCAACGCAAAGCATGTTGCAAGTTGCCAGCCAAGCCATGTCCAAACCATGCTGCGCATGTTAAACGCATTGTAGTGCCGCACCACTGTGCACGGAAAGCTCGTGCCGACAACTGCGCAAATTTGTCGCATCTCCGCGTCGCGGCCGCCTGTGCCCCGAGCGAACCAAGCCTCGTGGGCCCGCGCGAGGCGCGCGCGAGCCCTGCGCCCCCCCGCGCGAGCATAGCGCAAGCCTTGTGCAAATCCCGCAAGAACGCGGGGCGAACCCTACACCATCCCAAAACTGGCCCGAACGAAGCCTCGCGTGGGCCCCGCGGAACCGCGCACGAACCTCGCGAGAGCAAACCGCGCGCGAGCCCTGCGCGAACGCTGCGGGAACCCCGCGCGCGGCCCGCGCGCGCCCCGCGCGAGCCCCGCTAGCCCCGCTCGAGGCCCACGCAGACCCGCGCGAGCCCTGCGGAGACCCCGCGCGAGGCTCGCGCAAACCGCAGGGAATCCCCGACGTGCCCTGCGGAACCCCGCGAAATCCGCTCGAACCCTAGGCCCCATGAGGTCGCCGCGCGAGCCCAGCGCAAGCGCCGCGCGAGCTCCCCACGGGCCCTGTCGATCCGCGCGGGAATCCTTCGGGGGCCCCGCGGATCCTGGGCGCGAGGCCGCGCCAATCTAGCGCGAAACCTGCCCAGGACGTCGCGCGAGCGCCACGCGAACCCAACCTGGAACCCCAGCGCGGCCTCTGCGCGAACTCCACGCGAACCCGCGCAGCCCGCGCGCAAGCCCCAAACGAACCGCAAGAGCACCGCGCGGGCGTCACGCGAACCCACCCTGGAGCGCAACCAAAATCTAGAATCTAGAAAGGTATTGCCGAGCGCCTCGTCGACCGCAGGACCCCAGGCGAGCGCGAGCCACCGCCCGGTGACGAAGCCACCTGGCGCGACAGCAGCACTGTCTGGCACTTCGCCCAATCTTGCAATCGGAATTCACCGCGCCACGGCGAGTCGGCCACGCAAGGGGCACCCGATGAAGTTCGATGGGTTGCGGCGGCCTGATAGCATAGGCCTAAGACAGGAGAATGCACGACGGCCTCCCTGGGCGACGGCCAGAAGCGCCAAGAACCCGGGCGCGAGCGGCGAACGGCGGCGCGAACGCGCGAGCCGAGGGAGACCGCAGCAAAACAATCAAACGCACGCGCGCGCGCGCACGACGCGCCGCGCGCGGCAGTTGCTGGATGCTGCAGTGAGCGCGCCCTGAAGGGGCACCAGGCGCCGACTCCCAAGTGCAATTTTGGAAACCGGCGCTCACGGGCACCCCAGCCCAGCGGAGGCACGAAAACGGGGCCGCCGCCAAGGATTCCGGGAAGCCGCAAAGGCCTCCCGGAGGCCCTGGCGGTGGTCCCGGAACCCCCGACGGCGGCCCCCGCGGCCCCTGCGGCGGCCCCAGAAGCCCCATTGGCGGCCCTAGGAGGGCCGTCTAAAAAGACCCCAACAGTATGATGCCAGAGGCCTTCGGTATGATACTGTTGGGGGCCCTCAATGGTCCCTCTGGAGCCCGCCAAAACCCCATGTGGGGCCCCTCTGGGAGCCCCCCGGGGCCGCAATTCTGCTTGGCCTGGCCTCCACGGCCCACCAGGCGGCCCTGGAGGCGGCCCAAAAATCAGTGATCACAAAACCGTCAGAACCCTCAGGATGCTCAGAACCGGCAGAAACCTCAGAATCCTCAGAACCCTCAGAACCCCCAGAACCCCCAGAATCCTCAGAACGCTCAGAACCCTCCGAACCCTCAGAGCCCTCAGGGCCCTCAGAGCCCTCAGAAACCCCTCAAACCTTAGAAGCCTCAGACCCCTCACAGCTCTCAGACACCTCAGAACCCTCATCACTTTCAGACCCCTCAGACCCGTCAGACCCGCCGGGCCCCTCAGAGCCTTCAGGCCCCTCGAGACCTTCAGGATTCGCCAAACCCAGAGGACCCTTCAGAACCTGAAGACTTGGTCCGGCCCCCGCGGACCACGACCCTGGGCCGGGGACATTGTGCCCTGAGAGGAAGACACGGGGTCCGGGCAAAACGAGAGACCGGGGCCCGCCACCCAGAAGCCAGCGGGACCCAGGAGAGGACCTCACGCTGTATCCGGGGCCCAGCACACCCGGGAGAGGACCGAGACCCAGGACGCAGGACCACGGCGAGAACCTGGGAGAGTTGCCGCCACAATTCCGTTGACCAGGACCAGGGACAGGTTGTTTACTAAACTTTTCTGGGTCAACCGAAAAACAAAAAAAACACATGTTTTTTCAAGAAAGCGGTTGTTTAGTAAACGAACCAGAAAAGTTTAGTAAACAACCTAAACGCCGGCCTGGCTCCTGGGGGAACAGCCGAGCGGCAAGGGCTGGGCAGGGGTCCCAGGCGCGGCCGGCGCCTGGGGCTCGGAGGGAGCGAAAGGCTGGGGCAAGGCCCCGGGTCAGGAGGCCTCCGGCTGGGAAACGCTCGCCGAGGGCGGCCAGGCGCAGTACGACCCGTGGGCGCCCCCGGGCGTCTGCGGCGGGGGCTGCCGGCCCTCAAGGGAGGAGGAGTTCCCTGGATGTGATGGGGCCAGAAGGGGCGGCCCGTGCTCCGTCCTGGTGGAGGCGCCTCCGCGCCCCCGCGCGCATCCACCCGGCCCTTATCATCCAGTTGCGCTGCCGCGCGAGTCCGCCACCGCGCCGCTAGGGGGTGGGGCGCTGGGTGGGGGTAGGGTCGGCGGAGGAAAAGGATACCGACGGCGCTGCTCGTCCTGGAGAGCCCTCGTCACCACGGCCAGATTTGCCTCGGAATCCTGGTCGGAACAACCCCTGGGAGAGGTCCGTGGCATAGCGGTATTTGCATATTCTCGCCCCCCCTGAGGGGGGGGGTGCTGGGGGTTCTCGTGGGGGGCTACTCTATATCATGCAGGGAATTACCCTGACCAGGGTTGGCCGAATGGGGTTGGCGTGGAGGGTTGGCCGGGCTTGGCCAAAGGGCTAGCAGGGGTAATTATTCGATTGGTAGGTCCTTCCATAAAATATACGATGGGGGAGGAGGACCACCCCCCACCACAGATTTTGTTCTCCACCCTCCTGTGTTAGGTTCTCGTTTTGAATAGAGCACTGTCTGCCCCGTCCTCCTCCCTCCTCATCCTCCTCCTCCTCCTCCTCCTCCTGCTCGTCCTCCTCTTTCTTCCTTCTCCTCCTCTTCCTCCTCCTTCCTCCTGCTCGTTATTTCCCAACCCTCCTGTGTTGGGTTCTCGTTCCCAACCCTCCTTTGTTGGGTTCTCGTTTTGAATAGAGCACTGCGCGCCCCGTCCCTCCCTCCTCCTCCTTCTCCTGTTTCTCCTCCTCTTTCTCCTCTTCCTCCTCTCTCTTGCTTCCTGCTTTTCGCGGCTCCCTGGGGGTGCTGCGAAGTGCGCAACTGTCGCCACTCTCATGGGTTCCTGGGACGTCCAGCGGAGTGGGGGCCCACGGGGATCCCGTCGAGACCTCGCGGCTCCCCGGGGGGGCTGCGACGTGCGCAACTGTCGCCACTCTCATGGGCTCCTGGGACGTCCAGCGGAGTGGGGGCCCACGGGGATCCCGCCGAGACCTCGCGACTCCCTGGTGGGGCTGCGATGTGCGCAACTGTCGCCACTCTCATGGGCTCCTGGGACGTCCAGCGGAGTGGGGGCCCACGGGGATCCCGCCGAGACCTCGCGACTCCCTGGGGGAGCCGCGAAGTGCGCAACTGTCGCCACTCTCATGGGCTCCTGGGACGTCCAGCGGAGTGGGGGCCCACGGGGATCCCGTCGAGACCTCGCGGCTCCCTGGGGGGGCTGCGAAGTGCGCAACTGTCGCCACTCTCATGGGCTCCTGGGACGTCCAGCGGAGTGGGGGCCCACGGGGATCCCGTCGAGACCTCGCGGCTCCCTGGGGGGGCTGCGAAGTGCGCAACTGTCGCCACTCTCATGGGCTCCTGGGACGTCCAGCGGAGTGGGGGCCCACGGGGATCCCGTCGAGACCTCGCGGCTCCCTGGGGGGGCTGCGAAGTGCGCAACTGTCGCCACTCTCATGGGCTCCTGGGACGTCCAGCGGAGTGGGGGCCCACGGGGATCCCGTCGAGACCTCGCGGCTCCCTGGGGGGGCTGCGAAGTGCGCAACTGTCGCCACTCTCATGGGCTCCTGGGACGTCCAGCGGAGTGGGGGCCCACGGGGATCCCGTCGAGACCTCGCGGGCCACTTCCATAAGCCCCTGGGAAGTCCAGCGGAGTGTTGGCCCACGGGGATCCAGCCGAGACCCCGCGGCTCCCTGGGGGGCTGCGAACTGCGCAACTGTCGCACGGGGCCCGCGCGGGGCTTGCACGGCGCCCATGCGGGGTTTCCTGGACCCTTCAAATGCCCGCGGGCACTGGTGCACGCTGCGCGCGAAACATGACGAAATTCGCAATGGGCCGTGACGAGGTGGCGCAGGGCTCGCGCGGAAACCCAACACGGCTTGAGCGCGGCTCGGGCGAAACCAGCGCGGGGCTCGCGCTCGGCTCGCGCAAAACTCCTTGCGCGGCGTCGGCTCCGAGAGCGGGCGGGCCCCGAGGGCTGCCGACACCACGCAGTGCCGGTGGGCCGCGCGATCGACCGCACGATGAGACGGCTGGCGCAGCTCATGCAATCTGCGCGCATACGGCGATGTGTATTTTGCTCGAACTGCATGAACGCACTTCCAGGGGGGCGCTGTGGAGGGTGAAATTGGATGGGTTTTGATGTGAGTGGGGGTGGGGGTTACTATGCCGATCTAGAGACATGTGACCCCCTGA